AAAAGCTAAATCGGTCATTTAACATCGCCTAAGCATCGCCTTACATTCTGAAGGGATGAAAAAGAATTCAGATTGAAGTTTGATGTTTACTTGAATTGGAAAAGAGAATTGAGGCTCTGCTCCAATAACAGCGACGTATTACGTCGCTGTTCTGTGGTCGCTGAGGTGTTTCCCGAATTGAGTCTCTCGGACGGCTTCGAGGATGACGGCTGCCACCGAGTTCATTCCGGAAGACAATGTACTGCAATCATAACGATAACGCTCTCTTACATCACTTCATTCGCTAGACGGTCGGGACGAACGAGTCCTTCCACCTGAGAGAGGCAGCGAAGAGGCTCGCCAGGAACACTCCCGGGAGACCCACGAACCGACCCAACTTGTCCATGACGAAGTAGGGGATGATTTCGTCTTGCTTCTCGATCAAGCCCGCTTTCAGAGGATCGCATCCCTCGTAGTTTGCGAACGCGACCAATCCCGCCAGGCAGGATAGACTGATGATCCCTACCCCTATCGGCACCACTAGCATCACTGACCTGTCGGTAATGTTATCCCATCTCATCTTACCAACGGGTAAATAGCCCGTTGGTAAGGGTGAGGTGGAAAAAGACCCTTACAGTTGGGCTTTTCGTGTCGTCTGTAAGCTGTTGTAGCGTTGCATCGCGGATTGGGTGATGCCGCACGCGACCCACCAATAGCAGGAAACAGAAATTAAAATCCACCAAATGCTGTGTCTCTCGAATGGACTCCAAGACGTACTAAAAAAGGTATAGATATTCTCTGGAATTTCATCTTCAACAACGGCCGTAAAATTTCGATCCATCGATATCACCACCGCCACTGGCGAAGGCAACAGCTGGTATCTTACTTGAAGAACTCAGCCCTTTCGTATCGCTCGGCAATGCTCCAGACCTGGTGAAAACCCCCCACGTCCGCAATACCGTAAAATATTACGGCCAGAAGTCCGGCAAACATGAGGAATAATTGCAGGGCGTCGGTCCAGACAACACCCTTCAAGCCACCCTATCAAGATGATAAAAGTTTTAGGAGATGAAATGCTGCAATTTGAGACCTTATTCATATTTTTTTCGTTTGACAATTTTTTTTTACACCGAAAAATGTATAAAATACCCTATTATAACCGAATAATGATTCCAAATGACTCGTTATCAACCAGAAAACACTTTCCAATCAGTTTTCATTTTTGAAACGTCCCTTACATTCAGTAGTTTTTCGATTGATTAGCATTATTTTTTTTTCTGCACTTCGTGAACAAAGCTGAACTTAATTGAAAAATTAAATGCTTTTGGCATATTCAAGAGCGAAAATGTGCAGCAGTTCTTTCTTGCTCTTCGGACTGGGAGGACACTCCTGCTTATGGACTTGGTCCATATGCAGGTTTGTTCCTATAGATTTGCTTGATGAGAAAGGAGACTAGGCTATAAAACGCCAAGAGTTTATCGAATTATAGGGTAGAAATGATGATTCTAAAAAATAAATAAATATAACAATAATCTATTAAGCCACCATATCTAGTCCTATCAGTACTGCTTAATTTCTTCCATGCGCTCCCAGCCTCTTGAGATTACTGTAGTGTTCTTGTGCTCTGTCGTCTGAATGCAACCAGCAACCAAAGAAGCAGACCCTTTCTCCCCATGCCCTCCATCATGCAAGCAGACTCACGACTGCCGTGTAGACGGTGCAGATGCCTCCGGACGCGAGGATACCGATCCACTCGGGGAAATCGGTGACGGAGCTGACGGCGATGACCGGTGCGTACAGCCCAACCGCCATGTAGAGCGAGGTCCCGAGGATGTACAGGAACGCCCCCGTCCATCTTAATGGCGTAGAATCGAATCGAATCTCCAGGTACTATAAAAGTTTGTACTTCGGTGGAATAAATGCATGGAGAAACTCCCCGATATCTCTATCCTTCGAAAAGTACACACTGAGTAGAGACTCCTCAGGTTCAACGGGCGCAGGACCGGCACGAAAACCAAAGCTGCCAATGCCATACCCACAGAATAGCCAATGATTTGCATCCACCACGTACAACCATTCACATAGATCTCTGCCGGAGTACCTTAGAAAGAAGAAATTTCATGTCCGTAACTGAAAACATGTGACCGTTTTAAGTCAAGGAGTCGATAAAATCCCGAGGCATATTTTACCAAAGGAAAAAATAACTTTTTATCAATTTGGTAGAACTAAACTGCAGTGTGAATAACAGTACCCTATGTTGTCATTTATAGCGTACATTCAGCAGTAGTATGAACGCAGGATTGAAAGATACACAAGAATGCGATGATATATGGACTCACGATGGAAATGAAAGCTCGAAATGGTCGCCAATATTCTAAACAAATTCGAATGGAAAGACTAAAATGTGGCCCTCTGTTAGGTTAAGGTTCATCCTTCAATTATCGCCGTAAGGAAGCATAATCTCGGACCGTCCCAGTTTCTGGAACCTCTCTAGTCGAAGTATCGTCTCACCGAGGAGCATGACGGCCGCGATGTAAGTGGCAGCCATGGAGAGCACTACGAGAGGGAGGGACATTCCCTTCGACGCCACGACCATCTCCCCGGCCGAGTCCCTTCGCCCCCGCCAGGCCTGGTGCATCCCGACGAGGAGGGTGAGGAGGAGGGAGCCGAAGAACAGGGCGTAGTCCACTGCTGACAGGGTTTTCTTCGATGGCATTGGAAGTCGACAAGCGTCGCTCGGGAAATGAAACTGAGTCGGTATGTTTTTGAAGGGTCCGGTCCGTGGCGTGACATTTAAATTATGTCGGTGCAGATAAAGGTTTCGATCCATCATAAGGAGACAGTGTAGAGTATTCACTACAAATGTCCGGAAATCCCAGGGGCTTTCCTTATCGGAGATACGGTTCGTGTTCGTAAACGTTTTCATGCGTTCGAAAACACTTCACCGTTATCACGACAGAATGACATGCATCTAGATGAATGAGATAGCTTGGGGGTGGGGGGACGGAAGCTTCCTAGAAGCATTTCTTCTCCACTCCGCACAACCTCACCCCCCCCCCCCCTTTAAAAGAAGAGGAACGCCATGGATGCAAATTTAGGAGAGTTTTTGCTCCTTGTTCGTCTCTTGGAGGAAGAGCACGAACTCCTCCTTTTTTCACGCGAATTCCATGGAACGAGAAAAAAGAAAAAAGGGATTCACAAGCTTGTAAAGCTTGTAACTGGCAAGTATTAAACAACCTTCAGTAAGGAATCCAATGCAAGCTCTTAAGAAGAGCTTCCTTTCGATATGCAACATGTATATGATAATGCAATATTTAAAAATAAACAATTTGAAACATCTGCAATGTTTGTCCCACCTGTAACTTTCGTTATGGGTTGGACAAAAGTATCATGAGGATGCAGAATGACTTGAAATCTTGAGTTTCATCACTGGTGTGCATGCCAACAATATAACAGCAATTGAAACAAGGCAGTAATGGGAGCTCTGCACGAAAATGGCTGCATTATCGATATAATCTCCTAACACCCTTGCTACACTCGTGCAGCTTTATTAAATGAATTTTCAGCAGCTGCCTGTGGCATTATCATAGATACACAGTACATCATCACTGATGTAGTATCTGGTGCACATTCAAAAAGTGTAAAGTGATATTTTGTTTGAACTCAGTATCTCAGTACTCTCAGTACATTCGTACCAAATTTTAGCTCTCAATGTCTCCCCTTTTGACAGAAGCGAATCAATTCATTTGGGAACTTCCCCCAACCACAAAAAAATTTTCCTTAGGGTATTTACTTCCAAAGTCGGACTTTTTCTGAACTCCACATCTCAATAGCTACATGTGTACCAAGTTTCAGATTTTTAATTTCTCTAGAACATGGTTAGAATTAGCGTCAGTCACTCACTCAGGATCGGATATAGAGAGTGTAACAAAAGTCAGGAATCGCAGGGAAATAACATCTGGATCATTTCCAGCCTAGATTGTCTGAAAGTTACAAGCTGATCTGAGTTGATTCTGAAACTCCTGAGTTCCCTAATCTCAAAGTCTGGTCCAAGTGGCGCAAAATGGCAATGGGTGATCCATGGTGACCAAAAGTGGCCTAAATTGTCAAATTGATTGAATATGGGCCTAATTACCTGGGAGTGATGTAATTTTACAAAAATTGAAACAATGACTAAATTTAATCCAGAATGGCACATAGTAATCCATTGAGATCCATTTAGACCCACAATGACCCTTTCGACCCATGGTGACTTTCTTTGAAACTCGTTATGTAGTAGCAGCCAGGGTTGACCAATAGCAATTCAAGGTGACTCATGGCAATCAAAAGTGACTTACCCAGTCTGCACAGGAACGTTGAGTAAACCTCGATATTTGGTGGATACATCGACTTATCAGATTCACTAGTAATTCGACGTAGAGTAACTCATTACATCTTCGCTTTCTAAGTCATTTTTCAAATTTATAATAATTTTGCATCATTGGATATCAATCACAAGGTCTTTTGGAAAAGTGGAACGAGTAGGTTCATTAAAGTTCACTGGAAACCCACTTTTGAGGTTCGAGAGGTGAGGTTGCTCGCAGTTTCACTTGTGATGAGAATAAATTGGATAACTTTGAAGTGGGGGCGCCCTCCGCCCCCAGTGAAGTTTTATGCGCCCGTCATGAGGAATGGATCTGCCATGGGAACTTTCGTGCACAAGAAGTCATCAGGGCGCTCCTCCCTCGCTCCTTCGTTCAGTACCGCCACTGTCCACTTCCGGCCTTAATTAGTTGGTTCATTGACAAGCCTTACCCATGGAAACCAGATGGAAAAATTATGAACCTGAACGCAAATTAACGCTGATCTGGCAACCAGAGGAAGCCAAGTTATGCTTCCTTATAAAGTTATAAAGCAGGTGAAGTGCAATTCTGCTCTACATGATGTCACTCCATTTTAATTTTATTGCTGTCCTAATAAACAGAGATAAGATGCAATGAACCATGGGTGATTACACAAATCGAAAGGAAAACTTGCAAGGTCAATGCTAAGAGTCACATTATATGACTTATAAAAATTAAAGAGGGTACAATAAGTAAATCAATAGGTAACACAGGATTGCCAATTCATTCATTACTACTTGGTACTTGTTTTCATCGAATAAGCAATACGTATAACATGAACCATATTCCAATAAAAACTATTAGCATTATATCGAAACGCAGAAGAGAATAAATTAAGAACAAATTTTATGGTGGAAGCCTTTTTTGTATAGGTGTCCTGCACGACGGACTTCCAGAAGATAACCTCTTCAGCCGGTCGTCTCATCCTGCTGAGGCTGCTGCGGGGAATGCTGCATACCACCCATTGAGGAGGGAATCTGTTGAAGGCTGGTTGGACATGGTTGAGACTGTTGCGGAGCTTGCTGTTGAGAGACAGCTTGACCCATACCTCCCTGCTTCCTCTGCTGTCTCTTCTCCTCTGAAATTCATAGACCTTAATGTAATCAAATCTACCTTGCAGAGAATACATTACTGCGTTGGAGAAGCAAAAAAAGTACCCAAGTCCTTCTGAATCTTGTATATCTTCTCAGCCAATAAGTGGTAATATTCCGATCATAGACCTTAATGTAATCAAATCTACCTTGCAGAGAATACATTACTGCGTTGGAGAAGCAAAAAAACGTACCCAAGTCCTTCTGAATCTTGTATATCTTCTCAGCCAATAAGTGGTAATATTCCGGCTATAGAAGCAGAAAAGGGAATAGAAAAATTGTGATTAAAATATCTGCCAGCTAAGCTATATTATAAAACTTCTCATTTTTGCAATGCTAAGCTTTCCTTAATGTAAAGCTGAACATGAAATTAAGAGAACTATGAAAAGTCTCCATAAGAAATTCTAAAACTTTTTTAGAAACTCAAATCCACACTTCATTTTTCAGAATCCACAAGCCTTTTTCTTCCTCAGGCTAACAATTAAAAATGCAAATGGATTGAAATCACAGATGAAACTGGAAAACTCACTCGAGAGTTGGCCATCTCATAGATGTCTCTCTCCATCTTCTGAGCATAAGCGACTAGATTGTGCATGCGTTTGTCATACACCACAGTTGGGTCATTGGTGGGGAAAATCGCTGTAACCCTGGAAATTAGACACAATTGGGTTAATTTACACAGCTTTAGATATGTTACCAAAATTTTACAACATATAACAAAGTAGCTGACATAGAGGATGTGAAAAAAGTAGAGAAGTTGCTTTCAGTGGATATTTTGGGCACAATGGTTTCTTCGCATGATAAACTATAGAAGCAACAAAAATTGGGATACAATGAGGGCATTCTAACTACTTAGTTTCATACCTTGTCTATTTTCCATTACACACTATAAAAAGCATCAAAATTGCTGAGAACCTACAGGGTGGACCAAAAACATATTCAGTTATCTTCACAGCTTCACAGCTGTGAGTTTGGAAATATTCCAATATTGTCTCCATATAGAACATTTATCTTGCTTTCCACTGATGTCAAAAGATTTCAGATCAAATTCATCATTCTGATGCAGTTACAGTGTAACAGAGGAAGGCACTTGAAAATTGCAATCACCAGTACCCTACAAAACGTGCTCCAGGTGATCATTCATTCCTTTGCTTATGGCAAGTAGGCAACCTTTTGTATACATTAGCTGCTATTGCAGAATAGCACCAAATCTTATACTCTTTATCTAACTGATGAAAGTAATGTCACAAATCTTTTTTTCTGTTGACATCATTGGAAATCTGAATGAATGTTCTATACACAGGTGCTATTGCAATTTTAGCATACTTTTCGGGAACCGGTGTTGTGGAGCGATAAAGACAATGGAAGTTTTTTTTGGCCCACCCTGTACATGCAATACCCAATTCTTAAACTCACAGAAATTTGATAACAGTCACCTGGGCGTAAAGGACTAACAACAATGAATCCTTTGCCATAACATGATCAATAGTGTTGCCTCACAGATTGAAGTTCCAGGAAACTAATTACTAGTAAAATTCCTGGCAATGTGGATATTTCAGGATAGGCATAATTTGTAATAGAGCAAAAGCAACAGACTTTCATACTCTTAATCAGAGGCGAATACCAATACAATACCACTATTTTTCTCTCCAAAACCAGAACAATTAAAAACCCTTACTAAAATCCCTATTGCTTAGTGCTGAAAAATCTCCCATTGTGCATAGGTTCATTTCATCCACATGACAAATAAGCTTGAACAAGGTCATGTCATTAATGTGAGGAGATGTTCCACATCTGAATCAAAGTACTCTTCAAAATGACTACATACATATTTAGGTCTTCCCTCTTTAGGGATAATCAAATTTACATTGATACCACTCTAATAACTTATAAGCTGATAACAGATTCCGTAACATAACTATACCAACATTCTATGACAATTTGAGGAATATTCAGTGACTCATGACTATATTTTGTTTAACATTCCCAGAAATAATATTGGATTTTATTATACTGTATTTGGTAAAAAAAATATCACTTGGAGGTGGAATAAGCATAATAGAAATAAAAATACTTACAACAGGCCTCTTAGCTCCTAACATGACTCTATCAAGTACTGGGAGGGGTCAGGAATCCAGTCATGATTTGGTGATCATATCTATACAAAAGACTATAGGATCGGTCCATGCCAAGTGGTCCTAGAATTTCAATTGGAAATTTCCCTAAATATGCAAATATTACTCTTGCTACAGAAGTTCATCTCTTTTCCTATAAGACATGAATGAAAGAGAATATTACATTGAAAAATGAAAGAATTAGTCATGATTAGGATATATTTTTAATACCACTCTCATGATACTCAAAATGTGATGAAAATGCAAATCTGGAAAGACCCACTATTGGACTATTGGAAGAGATTCTAGCATGGACTTTCCATGCATATTGATAATGTCAAATCAGCTCAGGTTTGAAGGATTGATGTCAATTGTTCACATAGGAATGACATTTTAAAAATAAAATTAAAATATATGTCCAGACTTCTCATTTCAAAATGCATTGGTATTTTGAAACGAGAACATGTTCTCAGGTCATGGAACATGTCACATCTGACACCGTCACAGAATAAGCTAATTTTCTGTTTCAAGTGTTATCATCTTGGGGTGACTTACACTAATTCTAGGAATACATTCCATCTATAAAATGAACATGAAACTAAATTATTAGGATCCACTTGATGACAGATATGTGAACATTAGTTCAAGTGACTTAAACTTGAGGTTCACGAAATGTCACGTCCAACACTTTTTTTGTACATCTCTAACAAAAACATCCTCTAACAAAAGTGAGAGTGCAAGACTTGGGATTATGGAATTTTCCATCACTACCAAAAGCAAATTTTTACACCCTTTATATCCTGATTAATCATCCATAATATAGTTAGATTCATTGTTGACAAAAAAAGATTACTCCAGATGTCACATCCAACACCGTGGACAGGCCCTATACTATTTTGAGTGCCTTGGTGTCATCTCTGGTGCAATACACATTGAAGCCCATCTCATTGAAACTGCACAATTATATGAAAGTCAGGCAAACTTCATTTGGAAATACAATTAGAAGTAATTTAAGCCCTTCACTACTGAATTTTCACAAAATTCCTGCATTTAAAACATCCTTTTTTTGCATAATTAGTAATGAATAAAAAACCAGTTATTTTATAAGCAGTAAATACCCTGAACCTATTGAAGGAAATGCAAACAATTTTTTGGGTAACAAGGCATCATTAAAGGTAAAGGTGAATATTCACCAATGTGATGACACTTAGTCAATAATGATAATACTGAATATCAAAGAAGAGACATAGTGGATGAATGAAATCAGTCCTTAAAGGGTGAAATGGACTCTGTTTACAAACGTCAGGATGATGTGGTGCATGCATTGAGGAGATGTCCATAAGAAAGAAAATGGTCATTAATTATTATGACTGCTTAAAAACGTACCATTTGACTGCCAGATGGTACAAAAAATATAAAGTAATGTAACTAAATTTGATTTGAGACCTGCTGAAAAATATTGGATATCTTTAAACGCCTTTAATCTTTCATTTTCACTTTTTTTATACTCAAATTGTTCGCATTTTTACTGCTTATCATCAGGATACTGATATTTCAACTCACAATTTCTTGACAAGATGATTCCTGAGTTCAGGTGTGACACTTTCCTCCCAATCCTTAGTGCCCTGAATAGGAGCAGCAGTGACCTGTGGCACACCTGCAGGAGTTACAGGACCAGGACCAGGACCAGGGCCAGGGCCAGGGTCAGATTGCTGTGGCTGCATTCCAGGCTGTCCACGGGGAGATAAAATGGGTCGAGCTCCCATGATACCTTGTTGTTGTTGTTGTTGCTGCTGCTGTTGCTGTTGTTGTTGCTGCTGCTGTTGTTGTTGCTGAACAGCTAACGGCTGCTTTTGCACCTGAGCCATATCCATCATTCCAGGTAACTGTATACATTATAAAAATATCATGTTTCACAATCACTCTCAAAAATGCCAGCAGCAGCATGAATGGGACTCTCATCAAGAGTGTAAAAAGCGACTAGATTGTGCATGCGTTTGTCATACACCACAGTTGGGTCATTGGTGGGGAAAATCGCTGTAACCCTGGAAATTAGACACAATTGGGTTAATTTACACAGCTTTAGATATGTTACCAAAATATTACAACATAAAACAAAGTAGCTGACATAGAGGATGTGAAAAAAGTAGAGAAGTTGCTTTCAGTGGATATTTTGGGCACAGTGGTTTCTTCACATGATAAACTTTAGAAGCAACAAAAATTGGGATACAATAAGGGCATTTTAACTACTTAGCTTCATATCTTGTCTATTTTCCATTACACACAATAAAAAGCATCAAAATTGCTGAGAACCCACAGGGTGGACCAAAAACATATTCAGTTATCTTCAACACTTCACAGCTGTGAGTTTGAAAATATTCCAATAATGTATATATATAGAACATTTATCTAGCTTTCCATTGATGTCAAAAGATTTCAGATCAAATTCGTCATTCTGATGCAGTTACACAGTGTAACTGAGGTAGCACTTGAAAAGTGCAAATACCAGTACCCTACAAGACGTGCTCCAGGTGACATCCATTCCTTTGCTTATAGCAAGTAGGCAACCTTTTGTATACATTAGCTGCTATTGCAGAATAGCACCAAATCTTATACTCTTCTATCTAACTGATGAAAATCAAGTCACAAATCTTTATTCTGTTGACATCATTGGAAACCTGAATGAATGTTCTATACACAGGTGCTACTGCAATTTTAGCAAACTTTTCAGGAACCAGTGTTGTGGAGCGATAAAGACAATGGAAGTTTTTTTTGGCCCACCCTGTACATGCAATACCCAATTCTTAAACTCACAGAAATTAGATAACAGTCATCTGGGTGTAAAGGACTAACAACAATGAATCCTTTGCAATAACATGATCAATAGTGTTGCCTCACAGATTGAAGTTCCAGGAAACTAATTACTACTAAAATTACTGGCAATGTGGATATTTCGGGATAAGCATAATTAGTAATAGAGCAAAAGCAACAGACTTTCATACTCTTCATCAGAGGCTAATGCCAACATAATCCCATTATTTTTCTCTCCAAAACTGGAACAATTAAAAGCCCTTAATGAAATCCCTAATGCTTAGTGCTGAAAAATCTCCCATTGTGCATAGGTTCATTTCATCCACATGACAAATAAGCTTGAACAAGGTCATGTCATTAATGTGAGGAGGTGTTCCATATCTGAGATCAAAGTACTCTTCAAAATGACTACATACATATTTAGGTCTTCTCTATTTAGGGATAATCAAATTTACATTCATGCCACTCTAATAACTTATAAACTGATAACAGATTCCGTAACATAACTATACTGACATTCTACGACAATTTGAGGAATATTCAGTGACTCATGACTATATTTTGTTTAACAATCCCAGAAATAATAATATTGGATTTTAATATACTATATTTGGTAAAAATATCACTTGGAGATAGAATAAGCAAAATAGATATGAAAATACTTACAACAGACCTCTTAGCTACTAACATGACTCTACCAAGTACTGGGAGGGGTCAGGAATCCAACCATGATTTGGTGATCATATCTATACAAAAGACTATAGGATCTGTCCATGCCAAGTGGTCCAAGAATTTTAGTTGGAAATCTCCCTAAATATGCAAATATTACTTTTGCTACAGAAGTTCATCATCTCTTTTGCTATAAGACATGAATGAAAGAGAATATTACATTGAAAATGAAAGAATTAGTCATGATTAGGATATATTTTTCATACCACTCTCATGATACTCAAAAATGTGATGAAAATGTAAATCTGGAAAGACTGAATTAGACTACTGGAAGAGATTCCAGCATGGACTTTCCATGCATATTGGTAATTTCAAATCAGCTCAGGTGTGAAGAATTGATGTCAATTCTTCACAATGGAATGTGATCTTGAAAATAAAATTAAAATATATGTGCAGACTTCTTGTTTCAAGTACATTTTCAGGAACATGTCACATCCGACACCGTCACACAATAAGCTAATTTTCTGTTTCAAGTGTTATCATCTTGGGGTGACTTACACTAATTCTAGGAATTCATTCCATCTATAAAATGAACATGAAACTAAATAATTAGGATCCGCTCGATGACAGATATGTGAACATTAGTGCAAGTGACTTAAACTTGGGGTTCATGAAATATCACGACTGACACTTTTTTTGGCACATAGGTACACCTCTAACAAAAATGAGAGTGCAAGACTTGGGATCAAGGAATTTTCCGTCACTACCAAAAGCAAATTTTTACAGCCTTTATATGTTGATTCGTCATCCATAATATAGTTAGATTCATTGTTGACAAAAAAATATCACTCTGGATGTCACATCCAACACCGTGGACAGACCCTATACTATTTTGAGTGCCTCGGTGTCATCTCTGGTGCAATACACATTGAAGCCCATCTCATTGAAACTGTACAATTCTATGAAAGTCAGGCAAACTTCATTTGGAAATACAATGAGGAGTAACTTAAGCCCTTCACTACTGAATTTTTCACAAAATTCCTGTATTTAAAACATCCTTATTTTTTGCATATTAGTAATTAAAAAAAAAAAACAGTTATTTTATAAGCAGTAAATACCCTGCACCTATTGAAGGAAATACAAACAATTTTTTGGGTAACAAGGCGTCATCAAAGGTAAAGGTGAATATTCACCAATGTGATGACACTTAGTCATTAATGATAATACTGAATATCAAAGAAGAGATATAGTGAATAAATGAAATCAGTCCTCAAAGGGTGAAATGGACTCAGTTTACAAACGTCAGGATGATGTGGTGCATGCATTGAGGAGCTGTCCATATGAAAGAAAATGGTCATTAATTATTATGACTGCTTAAAAAAGTACCATTTGACTGTCAGATGGTCCAAAAATATACAAAATAATGTAACTAAATTTGATTTAAGACCTGCTGA